CAGAATCCCAGAGATTTTTCCACAGAGAAAAAAGGATTTTCAGCGTTGTTTGCTGTGGTTTGCTTTTAGAGAGCAGCAGATGCGTTGTATCAGAGTTCAGAGAGGGCACAAACTGCACCTTGGGGGCCTCCTCAAGAGCCAGTCCAAGGCAGAGGCTGAAACCTTCTCCTGATTAACATCAAGCGCAAGGCCCACGTCGCTCGGGGATCTAATCGTTAGCTAACTCGCAAAGCCAGACCAAAGGAAAATAAAGAACATGGACAATTTTCAAACCACCTTCAGCAAGGAGTCAACCGCGTATTTACCAGCATTCTTGGCCCCTGACAAGCTCCAGGGACAAGGCCCAGATTGGGTCATTTGTTTTTGCAAATTCTAGCATTACTTTTTCCTTCCTTCCCTGCTCTTTTTTTAAGGCTCTGCTCCGAAGATGTCAATGCACTGAATACATTAACCACATCTAAGGTTGCCAACAGGAGGGGCCGACTTCAAAAATGACAGAAACAAGACTTTCCTTTGTTTCTGGACCAAATCATCCCCAGCACGACATCCTACCCTACATCTGTATCTTTTCTCTATCAGATGCTGCAGGGATGGGGATCTCTCGAGGCTCCAAGAGGAGCCAAACTGCCCAGGCCAAAAGAGACGCGTTTGTTCAGCGTGGGGCTGGGTAGCAGCCTCTTCAAGGAGGAATTTGCTGGCAGAGCTGCTGCTGATTCAGCCACCTCTGCTTCAGTGTTTTGGCATCCCTGCACATGGGAGGGGTGGCAGGAGCCGAAAGGTGCACAGGCACAATGAAATTTAATTTTAAATGTAATTTATTCACAGAAATGACAGCCTCTTTCTCAATAAAGCCAATGAACACACGTACCACATGGCTTGCACCGACACCGGCTTGAAGATGTGCATTCTCCCTGCGGTGCTCACGCTGAAGCCACTAAGAGAGAGGAAAAACAAACCCCAAACGTTAGAAACTGCTCTTCTCTGCATCACAAGCTGCACTCCACAAATGGGTACTGCAAGGGGCACCCACAGGTGAAAGGAATTGGGGATGAGAATTTGTATCTCCAATTTTCCAACATCCTCCCAAATCAAATGGGAAGCGGACACCCTTCCCAGGCTGCTGGGAATGGGAGCTCCACCCCTCAAGTGGGATTTCACAGCTTCCACTGAGCAGTTTGAGGGCAGCAAGGCAAAAACTCACGGTCTGAGTAAGAGGACCGCAGCCATGAACCCAAAATTGGGACTTTATTTGCAAGGTGATGGAGAATCCCTCCTCCAGCAGCCCCCAGTAGGGAAGGACATTCACATTTATCCTTTTAATGTGGTTTCTTACCCATCACCATCAAGATGGATTTTAGTGTCGCTCCACAGACGAAGAACCATTCCTATCGTGCAGCTCTTACTGGAAGAGAGATTTTTATACAGGATGTTAAATATAAGCCACAACGCGGTCACGCCAATATCCTAAATTATTAATACCCTTGAATTTTTAAGATCCTCAAGTCTTGCCCTAGTAATTCCTAGTAATATCTCAGGCCATCAAATGGATAACACACAAGGAGACCGGCAGCTGAAGTCTCAACGCCTGTTCTGGTATCAACACCCTGACTCCTCCACAGGGCTGGGGAAGCAGCACAGGAGCAAGAACCAGACTTAGCAGCTCCACAGCCGGCCAGAAAGCCCTGCAGCATTTGCCCCATCACCTTTTCTGCTCCCTCACCCCTATAAGCTCAGCACAAGGCTGTCCCTAACAGGACATCAGAGCGGATCACAGCGACCTGGGCACAGATTCAGCTCCCTAAAGCGATGCCAAAGGCAAGGCCTGGGAGGTGGCAAAGCAGGCACCTGCCCTTTCCAAAGGGGACCCAAGGGACCGTGTGTTCACTTTCCCCTTCATCGCTCTGGCTGGTGGACAACACAGAAACGGATTTTATGAGTTTACCTAACCCAAAAGAGCACTTCCATTGCAGAGAGGAGATCTGGCAAGAAAACTGTGCTATAATGGGGGCCAGGAACTTTCAACTAGTAAATAATTAAGCTACTGAGATATTAAAGTTTTAAAGTACATTGGGATGTGTACAGCAACAGCCAGTTAGCAAAGGAATCAGGTTTGGTTTTGTTCTTTTCCTTTCTTTTTTAAGACTTCAGCCACTTTCTAGCAGATCAAAGGATCTGGCAGGCCAGTTCGAACACGTGTGGAGCTTTGTGAGAAAAAATGGTTTTTACTAAATGCACGTAAAAGGAATAAAAGCCACAAAAGCACCCCACTAGTCAAACTGTCTGCAGTCAGAACACTTTCAGCTCAGCAGCAACATTTCAGCCCCAACACAGAGCCACTGAGTCCCTCAGTAAAGTTGCTGATGTCAACTGACTTCTTCATGCATGAGACTTACTTCTAATTAACAAAACCTTTGGCTTTCAGGGGAGAGGTGGCCTGCAACAGCAGCAAACCTTACACTTAGGATGGATTTGTCCTAACTTTTCCATCTGTCCTCATCTCACATCAGTAATCACCAGGAGCAAATCACTCCCAGGCTGTTGGAGATGTGAAGATGACATGGCAAACGCTCACTGCTGTTGCACACCGAGTGTGCCAGAAGGAAACGTTAGGTTAGAATTTCCTCTGTAGCACTTCCAGCAGTAATTTAACAGCAGACGGGAGCGGCAACATCAAAGCCCTTCCACTTACAGCAATGGAAACAACCACGAAGGTTTTCCAAAAAAGCAAAGAAAAGTCACGCTGGCTGCATCAGCACAGCACGGCAGCGTTGCTAAACCACCCCAGAGCAGAAACTACGGTCTGGAAGCTCTGATTTCTCACTCCAGCTCTGCCAAACCAGCCCTGTTTGTCCCAGCCAAAAGCTTTTCTGCCTTGGTCTACTCACCTAGGACTGGAATAACGCGAGGGGGTCTGCGATAACAAAATACTTCGTTTGCCTTTCAAAATATTACGTGCTCTTATCAGTTAGACAAAAGAAACAGCTCACTGCTGACACATTCCTTTGTTGGATTTGGATATAATTTTGCAGTGTTGCTTTTTGATGTTATTTGGCAACTAAGCTACCCACCCCCTCAGGAAAAAACCCCCAAACAGCTCCATTGCATCATACCATCAACAGACTCAAAGTCTGCTCGACAAAGTAAGTTCCAGTTTAGCCAGTGTGTCCATAAGAGCATTTTGTAGTGAGCAGACAGCAAACTACCACAGACGAGGTAGATGCCACAGCCCTGCACATGGGTTACACAGGAACCCTTCGCAACTGCCCAGAGATTCCAAGGAGACTGAAAGCTGGAACAAAAACCACCCTCATAACTGGTCAGAAAACTCAGTGCACGTCCTTTCTCTGGCTAGGATTTGCAGCTACGTGTAAACCATAGACATACCTCTCCTTGCTGGAGAAATCCACCCCCAGCAGAATATTCTCCTCCGTGTCCTGCCGCCCGCTGCTGTACACAACCACCATGTACCGGACTCGGTCTGTCCACACGCTTTCCAAACGGACAGCCTGGAAAAAGGTCATCAAGCTCTGCAAACCGGCTCTGGGATAACCATTACTGCCATTGCTGCCTAATGTTTTCTTTAAGGTGTAATTGCGCCCTAAAGCTTTATTTAGCTGCGGTATGAAATGCACAGGCAGACACGGTCCATCTGCCAGCAAGGCTGGTTGCCAGTTTGACTTGGCATGGGGTGAGGAGATTAGCCTAGATTACCTGCCCCAGTTTGGAGAAATACTGCTAAAGGTAACCTGGAAAGTTGGTAACAACATTGGTGATGCACAGAACTGAACACAGAGGGCGGCTCAGAGGATCCTTCCACTCACTGAAATACACTTGTCATGCTGGGGGGACAGAGACCTTTCTGCTGTGACTTTACAGCCTCTGCAGATCTCCTTAACAGAAAGCCCAGCCCCACGTGGACGCAGTTTCAAGACTGATTTAAGAGTGCCCGCTAGCACCAGCAAGCTCCTGTCTCTTCTCCTGTGTTAGTGTTTGTCTGCTGACCAGAAAATCAAACTTAACAAAACAAACACATTTTGGACAGCTCGGTTTCCTGATCCAAATCATGTCCTGGATGTAAGGACCAAGGCAAAAGGAGTGGACAGGAAAACGTGGTAGGGCTGGCAGCCCACACAGAGTTAGGCTGACTCTGAAAACTAGGACTTGCCAATGCTTTTGAGGAACCTCTGCAGGTCTGTTTCAAATGCCTCCAACAGAAAGGAGGGCAGGAAAATGCATCTTTGCTTACCAGTTTGATCCTATCCTCGCAGCGAAGGAGGTTGATCATCACCTGGAGGTGCTGGGGCAAATCACCTGCAGAGAAAGCAGGGAGATCACCAGAAAGGGTCTCTCACTCGCTGCACTAAGAATGGGCAGTCCTGACCTTTAATGAAATTGGGTGTTTCAAAGTCAATAAAACAGCATTTAAGGGAGGCCAATTAACTTTGCTGTCCCAGGGAATGCTAACAGAAGTGGACTCTTGGATTTGTGTCACCTGGCTGTATGAGAACTCGGTCATACGGTATTTGGAAGCTACCAAATATACTGAGACCACCTGCAACTTGTTGCTCACATGAGTCCCTTAGGCTCTAGAGCAGTGGGTACATTTCTGTTTGCTGAAAGGAGCAAGGAATCTACAAGAAAACAAAACAAATTCACATCTAATAACTCAGCAATGCACTCATAACTTTCCACACAAGATAAAATTCCTTCCGTAGGATGTTTGCTGGGTATATGAAATTGCTGACAATCAACGAAACCCAAAGCCAAGCTTGGCATTCAAACGCCCTCTTTGTGCTGGGAGTGTTTACCAAGCAGCAGACACACAGTACCGCACTGTGCCTTTCCCACATGCTCCTGCTCCCAAAATGCCCCCATGAGCTTATTTCTTCTCTCCCAGTAACTGCTTATCCCAAAACTGTCAAAGACAAAGCATGAAAGCACTGGGTAAGGAGAATCCCTTTCCCTGAACCTCCTATCTGCTTATCCATCCTTATGTACATCCAGTCCTTATGTACGTTCACCACAACTCCTTGCTGTATCTTCCCACCGGTTTGGCACACTGGAGGGGACTGGGGGAAGGACAACATCTGTTCTTAAACTGTGATGAACTCTGACAGGCCAGGCTGTGATGAGGAAACTGAAACGGGCATTTTCCTGAAACCAGGAAATACAGGGGGGTTGGACCAGATCATCTTTAATGGTCCCTTCCAACCCAATACATCCTATGACTCTATGATACAAGGAGTCAAGAAACACACATCTCTCCAGAGAGTCAAATCCAGTTAAAACATTCCTCATTCCTACCAGCAGCACCAAACAAAACCAGCAACAGGCAGTTTCAGAAGAACAAATGTTGTCAGCTGGCACCAAAAGTCCCAAAGTTCACATTACTGGAGGCTGGGAGAGCACTCAGAGCAATGTCCCTGCCGTGCTGAACCAGGACCTCGGTAACCACAGAGGAGGCGCTACAGCCCTGTGACTCAGCCCACCCCATTTTCCTCCCCACAGGCCAAAGGGGTCAGCAAAGATCAAATCACCAAAGCACGAGGGACATTTCTTCATCTGCAGCTGTGGGAAACAGGGACACGCGTTCAGCACAGCCCCTGTGGCTCAGCAGGCCAAAAGAAGGCCCGTTATGACAATTAAAGGAGTGCCCCCCCAATCCATGGGTGCTAGGAACCTGTCTGCGTGGACAGAGTGAGCAGCAAAGCGAGAAGGGGTAAAGGGATTTCGGGAGGCGATTGAATCCTCTACCTGCATGTTTGTGAGGATGCTGGAGGCTTCGCTGGCCCTGGGAGCTGTTTCCTTGCTGCAAGAAAAGGGCTGCGCCTTTCACCATGAAAAAGCTCTCGCTCAGGCTGGAAAAGAAATGAGAGAGGAAGTCAAGGGAAAGGAAATCACCAGCAAAAGGCGTGCTCGGGTCTGTACGCCCCGGGAAGGACGAGCTTCCCCTCGTGGAAATGTAGCAGGACTTTGCCACGAGAACCAGTTCCCAAAGCGTGATCCTGCCACTTGTGCTTCCAGCATCATTCACAGATTATTCATGTGTCATTTTCCACCAACATTTTATGCCTTGGCCATTGCAGGAGACACTTGCCTGAGTTGTCCCGGGCTGGAAATGACTTTATCACCCGATTGTCAAATTCTGCAGCTTATAAACAGTGGAGAGTAAGACTTTTTACAGGCTCAGAGCTGTAAAATGACTGAAGATCAGCGTCCGAGTCAATCAGTCCCTCCTAACTTCAGTTCTGGAGATCTCTTTGGAACACAACAAGAACACGCAACCCTAAACTGTCTGCAGCTCTAACGAGAGAGGGAGAACAGATGAAACCTGCACATCACGAGAGAAAGGAAACGGCACCGAAACCTCAGGGGAACAAACAACCGACACAACAGCACAGCTCTGGCTTTGCTCGGGCTGGACACAGCCCTCCCCAGAAACACTCCAGATAAGGCAGCAGACGCAGTGTGTGCACACACACACAAAACACACACGGTATTTCCACACAGTCGAGCGACACACAGACCCCGAAGAGAAGGCTGAACAAACTCAGTAATTAAACCAGCACAAGCCTAATTACACAGAGCACTTTAGAAACAGGCTCGGAAGTTCGCGTTTCCCGCAAGGCTGAAAATCAACCTCTCCTAAGGTACCTTTTAGTTGCCACAGCAACTGCTTACACTGCACTTCCTACCCCACTCGAAGCATCGCAAGAGTCATTCCTCCTTGCAAAAGCCCAATCTTCTGCCGCCCCACGCTTCCAAACGTAGATCATCATTAATTACTGCCTGCTCTCACTAAATAGAAACGCTCCATTATGAGATTGTGCTCCACGGGAGTTACTTGTGCCACAGAAAACGATCCCACAGGAGCAACTGCTTTAGCTGGGGTCTGTGCCTTGGGGCAGAAGCGAGCACTAATGCTCCACGTCCGTATTTTTGTGAAGGAACACGAATTTTGTGTCTTTTCAGCTTTTCCCTCCTCCAAGAGCACAGCCAAAGTGCCCAGGCAAAGCTTCCTCGTTTCTCAGCTGAATCCTCGGTGCAAAACTCCCAGCAAAACCCGGCTCAGGTTCATATTTGAGATTTCAGCCGCTTTTTAAAAGCGAACTGAAACTTCCACCCAAGCTGCAGGCTCCACCAGTCGTCCATCAGCTCAGACCACTGCGCTCTAATTAAAACAAGCTTTTCTCTCCATTTTGCAGCATTTCCAGCACTCACCGCTCCCCTCGCGAGCGAGTCGTGTCCCAAACGCTGGCTCTGCTCTGCTAAGGACAGGAATTTCTGCAAAGGGGGATCTGGTTCATCCCATAAGCGAGGCAGGAAGAGCCGCGTTTCCTTCGCACGCCAAACCTCACAGGAAAGCGTTAATAAAAGGTCAGGAGTTACACAAAAGCAGGGACACCAGCACAACGTATGGGATATTCGGCTGGAGACCAAGCTTCACATCTGCTCCTTCAGCAAGAGGAAGGGAGCAGCGAGATAACGCACAAGGAGACAGCTCACAGCATTCCTGTCCCAAGAATTTGGGCAAATATTTCTTTGGGAAAGTGAAAAAAAAGATCCCAAAGGATATTCTTTTCTCCCTAATCAAGCACTGGTTGATTTCTACAGCAGGAAAAACCTTGGGAGAGCCAGAGCTGCTTCCAAAAGCATCGGTAACTCCTGCTCAGCTCATCTCTTGCACAAGAAAGCAGAATATTCCCAGCTGCAGGCAAACGGGACAGCAGAAAGCGACGGCAGGAAAAGGACGAGCCACAGAGCGAAGCTGTTGTCACCACATATTGATCTGCATGGAAATGAACCAGAAAGCAAAGCCAAAGGACCTGTTGAGAGCAAGGTTTCTTTCTTAATTCAAATCTAACCTGGCCAAGCGCAGCTGCCTGCACCCCCCAGCCCTACCCCGCTCCCCAGTTTCCACATAAGCTCCCCCTTTCCCTAGGACCCCCACGGTGCCGTGCAGAGGGAAGGCACCCGAGAGCCTCTCTGCACATCTCACGTTTTACACCGTTATCGAAGCAGCAACGTTACCCAGCACCGCCCCTTATCTCCGCTCTGGGAACACGCTGCTCCGCTCCAAAAGACAGCTGATAAAATGAAAGGGAGAAAAAGGCAAGGCACGATACTCCAACCCGGTTTTCAAACCCTTTTTAAACCCTGCAGTTCCAGTAAACAACGAAAACTCCGAAGTTTTTTTAAAAAAAAAATCTCCTAAAGAACAGAAAAATCCTATCATTAAAGAACATCCCCAACTTTTGACCCTCGGCAGCAGTGATAAATGCCCTAGGCAAGCAGCATTGGTTAGAGGCATAAAAACGAGTGGCTTATACATACTAATTTGGCCTGGTTTTCTTTGCACAGCAGAAGCATTGTGCTGGCCCGAGAGTCAGACAGAAGTCAGTAAATTCGAAAAGATTCATAACCAGCTGTAAAACTCACATCCTTTGGCTTCTAAAACCATTTTAAAAAAAAAGGAAAGAAAAGAAGGAAAAGAAAAGGTTGACCGTATATTCAGTGCGGAGCAGAGCAATCGCGGCTGTTGATGCTACCCAGGGACTGGATGACTTTTAGAGAACACTGTGTCTTGCACTGATATCCTGGCTTGAAAAAGCACTTGTCCTGACAGCTCCTGATGAAAGAGGGCCATTCAAGAGGGGAAAAACCAGCTGAGGCTCAGCTAATCGCTGCCCTCCTCCAGACTTTGCTGTTTGCTTCCTCCCGCCTGCTCGGAGGCAACGTCCGCACCGCAGAGCTGAGGAAAGTCCATGTTCCCCAGGACAGCACTAGGCAAAAAGCAATACAGGGATTATTGACTAATGCCCGCTCGTTGCTTTATGATCAGGATGCTGTAACACATGGGAAAGGCGTTAGCTGTCAAATTCAAATGCTTCTTCCCTCCCCGTACAGCTGCCACGGTTGGATTTTCAGTGACTGAGTTACTGAGCTGCTAAGGAACAAGCAATTCTTTCAGGTGGCTTGGCCTTTACTTCTTAGTGCTAAAATCAAACTCACTGAAGACTTGTTTAGACCCCCGACTCCTCCTTTGGGCATCAACCACAACCACAGGCTCACGTCTCACCAGTAAAACCAGGGGCAGAAGCTCCTTTCTGTCCAACTTTTACCCATCCCGACTGGCACGCAGACAGAAACCACCCTGGACGCCCTTCTAGGAATGGCAGCTTTACAGGAGTCGCCTCAGGCTCTCAAATAAACACAGATGCCACCGGTTGGGTCACAGCCCCAGGACACTGCTGCTCCCGTACGCCTGCAGACCGGGCCTGTTTCCATTTCACAACCTCAGCTTACCAAACCGATGGCATTTACTGCCTAAGGGGGCTACAAACCTACACCTATGAGCACCTGGGAAATGCTGAGGGTGCCAGTGGGGGGTACAGGGTGCTCCGCAGGGGCACCCAGAGGGTCCTTAATGGCCACAGGAGCACCGAGACGGCTTCAGCGTCTCCGTCCCTTGCTCCATCTGTTGGCTCCGCGCTGGAAAGGAAATATTTCTTCCCCTTTGGGAAAGCTCCAGAAGAGCGTGGCTGCAGCACACATCAATTACGTTTCGGGTTGCTTAAGAACACAATAGGCAGAGCCTTTAAATCCTGACAAAACGCTGCCTCCCAGGGCCGCAAATAAAGCCAACAAGCGATCTGTTAAAAAAATACCGGGTTTTGGAACAAGAGACATCGCTGCTCGCGTTACCGGACAGGGCTGCCAGGCACTGAACCTTTTTCCCTAAGGAGTTTGCTTTGTCGCTTCCCAGGACTCAAATCTTCTGCATCTTGGGTGTTCGACTTCCTCATTTTAATGGGAAATCTCACATAAGACGTCACCACCTTGCAGGACACCAGAAAACACGTTATCGGTGTATCACAGAGCTACGCAACTCATCTCAAAATGAACACCCCTAGGCAGGGGTTAGCAGAGAGGACATCGCTTGCCCTGGGAAGACACAGCCA